AGTGGTGTCCCTCCACAAACACAGCCCATTCTTCCCAGTTCCAGCTCTCACTGGGTTCCAGTAACCACCCTGCCCTACCTCCACCCTCCAGTTCTTTCAGACTTAGGAGTGATAATGGCTTCCCACTGCTGCTAGTCACTGGATGCCTTGCCATCCTTGTTTGCTTCCTCAACTCTGACTGCATCTCTGTAAGTAATCACTTCATTGAAGGCCAGGTTTCCTTCAGGACCCTGACTGGGGCAGAGCCCAGAGTGTGTGAGCATTGAGCTAGTATTCAATTTACTGAGAGTATAATACAGAGGCTTTATGAATTAGCATCATAGTGTCCATAGCTATGACAGGGAACTGCAAAATGTTAGAAGAGGAAACCAGTGAACTGTTGTTAGGAAGAATCTCGGTAAAACAGTTCACCTTAGAGAGAATACTAATGTGACTTCTGAATACCAGCACCCTTTGACCTAGCAAGTAATCAGGTTATTTTTTTTCTCTCCTATATTTCATCAAGAGGAACTGAAACCTTGTTTTTGGAAGCGACTGAGTTGGTCAGAACCATCCAGGTAATGAGATACCAGATGTTTGTAGGTCAACGTTCATTATTTCTAAATAACCTGGGGAGACTTTAAACATTTATCAGCATCTTAATAAACATTGGTGACAAAGACTTGAATTCAAAGTTGTTCAATTTTTAAAGCATTAATGTTTATGCTTAAAACATAAGGTAAAATGAACACTAACTTTGGTGAAGTAATCAGTAAAGTTAGCAGAACAGTTTTAGATGAAGGGAGTCCAGAAGATGCTGCTATCAATTGCTTTGCAGTTATTTTGCATTTCCAGCATACCCTAGTTGAGCATATCTACTTTGATGATAAAAATCATGTTATTAACCAATGTTACTCCAGTAAATTTTTAAAAAAACATATTTTAGTGATTTCAGAGAGAAAGGGAGAGGGAGAGAGAGAGAGCAACATCAATGATAAGATAGAACCACTGATTGGCTGCTTCCCATACCCCCTGGCCCCTATCAGGGATCAAGCCCACAACCAGGGCATGTGCCCTGACTGGGAATTAAACCATGACCTCCTGGTTCATAGTTCAATGCTCAACCACTGAGCCATGCTGGCCGGGTCAATAAATTTAATACAGTTTTTTAAATTAAAAGAAATAAAAATTCATTTCCCTTAAATTCAGTTGAATATAAAGAGGCTGCTTTTTTTTTTTTTTTTTTTTTTTTTTTTAATGTACACAACTACTCAAAACTTCCTCTTTTTTTGTTTTTAAAAAACGCACACACAGGATAATCGTACTGGATCAGAGTGATTTGTCAGACTGACCGGAACCCGATAATAGATGGACTCCTAGTCCGAGTTTGAGCACCTGCTTGTGAGCTACCTTCTCCAGGGTCTGCTTCAGTCACCATTAGAGTAATGGATCCCTAACTCATGCTTTGTTCAGCTGCCTCAATAGACAGGAAGACTTGGTCCTGTCTGTTTATAGCACATGTAACCATTTGTTTTTTGTTTCTGTTTTCCAGAGATATATTTTGAGCTTTTATTTTAGCACAGCAGTTGTAATAATTTGTTTTCAGTTAGATGTCTGAAAAGTGAAAGGGAGTGTTATTGACTGTAAAAATCACTCATTGTGTTCAGAATGGCTTTGGTTTTGTTGACATAGATTTTTGAAGACTTGTACTTCTGTTATATAATAAAATGTTTACTTTTAATAGCAGTTGGCTTTTAGCTGTGTAAGATGTGTTTAATTATTGGGAGAGAAGCCACCAAAGCAGACAGGAAGAAGAAAAATTATCTCTGTTTTCAGATTATATGAGCTTATATGTAGAAAACCCTAAGTATTCCACAAAAAAAACCATTTGACTAAATGAGTTCAGCAAAGTGGCAGGATACAAAGGCAATACACAAAAAGCAGTTGCATTTTTATGAACAATGAACAATCTGAAAGGAAAGTACAAAAACAACATTTACAAAGCATCCAAAAATAATAAAATACTAATTTTAACCAAAATGATGAAACATTTATACTATGAAAACTATAAAACATTGCTGGAAGAAATTAAAGATAACATAAATGAAAACACATTCCATATTTATATAATAGAAGACTTAGTAATTTTAAAGAAATATTTTATTAATTTTTTACAGAGAGGGAGAGAGGTAGAGAGTTAGAAACATCGATGAGAGAGAAACATAGACCAGCTGCCTCCTGCACACCCCCTTTTGGGGATGTGCCCATAACCAGTGTACAGGCCCTTGACCGGAATCGAACCTGGGATCTTTCAGTCCACAGACCAACACTCTATCCACTGAGCCAAACCGGTTTCGGCAAGACTTAATATTTTTAAAATGTCAGAACTGACCAAAGTGATCTACAGATTCAATATCAAAATCCCAATCCTAAAATTCCTGTGAAAGTTCAGTGGACCCTGGATAGCCAAAATAATCTTGCAAAGGAAGAACAAAAATGGAGGGCTCACACTTCCTGGTATCAAAGCTAGTAATCAAAACAATGCGATATTGGCATAAAGACAGACCTGTACATATATATACACAATAGAATGGAGAATCCAGAAATAACCCTTTCACATATGGCCAAATGATTTTTGACAAGGACCATCTTTTAAACAAATGGTGCTGGAAAACTGGGTATCTACATGCAAAATAATGAATTTGGACCTTTATCTAACACCATGTACAAAAATTAACTCAAGCCGAAACTGGTTTGGCTCAGTGGTAGAGTCTCGGTCTGCGGACTGAAAGGTCCCAGGTTCTATTCCGGTCAAGGGCATGTACCTTGATTGCAGGCACATCCCCAGTAGCGGGTGTGCAAGAGGCAGCCAGTCGATGATTCTCTCTCATTGATGTTTCTAACTCTCTATCCCTCTCTCTTCCTCTCTGTAAAAAATCAATACACACACACACACTCAAAATGGAACCAGGACCTGTACCTAAGACCAAAAACAATAAGACTCTTAAATAAAACAAGGTGAAAACTTAATAGCATTTGATTTGGCAATGATTTCTTGGATATGACATTACAGGCACAGGCAACAAAAGAAAAAGACATGTTGCAGTTCACAAAAATTTAAAATTTCACTATCCACAGTAAAAAGGCAATCCATAGAATGGGAGAAAATGTTTGCAAATCATGCCAGTCAGTGTGATTCAGCGGTTGAAGTACTTGTCGACCCATAAACCAAGAGGTTGCTGGTTCAGTTCCTGGTTAGAGCACCTGCCTGGGTCATGGGCTCTGTTCTCAGTAGGGAACATGCAGGAGGCAGCCAACTGATGATGTCTCTATCTATCCTCTCTAAAAATCAATAAAAACATATTTTAAAAAATTTGCAAACCACATATCTGATGAGGGATTAATATTCCTAAAACATAGAGAACTCCTAAAACTCAACAAATACACATTATAGTCTCATGATTAAAGGTTATATGTTAGTAAACAATCATATTTAAGTAGAATCTCATAGGAAAGCTTTGTTCAAGTAAGCTAGTCTCAATTTTATAAGCTAACAAATCAATACTTCAACCTGGTTTGCCCATAGTATCTTAAAAATATCTGACTTATAAATGTTCTCCCACTTTTATCCTTTTCTATTAAAAACCCCCCCACAGATATAGTGACTAGACTAGAGTTTTACATTCTAAGGTTTTATATCAGTAGTTCAAAGTTTCTCAATCTATTGAGATCCCCACTATCTAAAAATGTGTGGGTTTTTGTTTCATCTTTGTCTCTAATCTTGGCTGAATTTAAAGATCCAGAAACAATGAATCTGACCATGCCAGAACTGTGATGACCCTTCAGAGTCAAAAGGGAAATAGATGATGGATATGGTAGAGTCTGTGTCTGAAAGAGAGAGAGACAGCCGAAACCGGTTTGGCTCAATGGATAGAGCGTCGGCTTGGGGACTGAGGGGACCCGGGTTCGATTCCGGTCAGGGGCATGTACCTTGGTTGTGAGCATATCCCCAGTGGGGGGTGTGCAGGAGGCAGCTGATCGATGACTCTCTCTCATCGATGTTTCTAGCTCTCTATCTCTCTCCCTTTCTCTCTGTACAAAATCAATAAAATATATTAAAAAAAAATGAAAGAGAGGGAGACAGAGAAAGACACAAAGAGAAGCATGTGAAAGGGAGAGAAAGATGACTCTCACTTATCCAAAATGGATATTCAAGTTGGAAAGTCACTCTTCAAATAAATAAAGAACCAGAGGTCCAGCTGATAAGGATAGCTAAGAGAAAGGGATCATGAAAAAGGACACTAGCATTGTGCAATGCCCACCTTCAAGACAGTGCTTTCTAGATGAAGAAACCAAGGCTCAGGCAAGACAAGTAACTTGTGCACAAGTAACCACTTATGACTGAAACCAATGACTAACTCCAAATCCTTTCTACAAATCCTATCCTTACCCCTAGGCCAAGAATGTGAGAATTTATGACCCTGAATTTTTACCCCAGGGTCAAGCAAACTACCCATAAAACCTGGAAAAGGTTGGACTCTCTATATTTTTTTAACTTATATACAGTGTAGTTCCAAACCAAACAAGACAAATTTGGACCTTGCACCTAGTTAAAACCGGGGCTAATACAACATGATTGATTTGAATAGCCTTGCCTTGGATGAGTCTCTGGGAATTAATGGAATCTCAGGAGACTAGGGAAGGGCATGGAGCTTCCCTGTACACCAGGAAATCCTGATTTTGCTAAGAATTTAGTCAAAGCTTTGCTGATGTCAATTCCAAAGACATCCAGTTTCCTTGCAGTGACTGCTTGAGATTCTCTGAAGAATCGTGGCTGGCTGCCAGGGTGTTTAGTAGGAAGCTCCTTCCTTTATGACATCACCAGGCAGGTAGTTAAGGGGAGTGTTTGAGATACTGTTAGAACAACAGCCACTTTTGTGGGAATGCAAGAACAGCTTTTAAAGCTGAGGGTAAATATTCAGGCTTCATTAGGATCCTGAATGCAAGCTAACCGGTAAAATATGGGTTCTCCTCAGAGGGGCTCCACCTATCAAACGGTCAAGACAAGTAAAACTGGGACTAAGGTAACAGTTTTAACACAGAAAGGGACTGAGATAACTAGCACACAGCCTCATCACGGACATGGGTCCATTGCTGCCATGACCCAGCGAAGTGCTGTAATCACCATGAGCCCTCCCATCCATCGAAGATCAGAACCTGGGCCTTCCATCATTCCCAGAGATGAACATCACTTTAGCCTCCCAGCAACCAGCTTCTCTGCAACACCCATTCCTAAAGGAATTGAGAGCCGATCAAAATCAGATTCATATCATCATTCCTCTCTTCAGCGAAAGATCCAGCAAACTCAGCCAACATCTTCCAATGCTGCTCAGATGCATCGGACTAGTAGTCCCCAAAGAGAGGAATCCCCACGAAGAAGGGGAGAGAGCAAGGCAGGGCATGACATTAATCGTTACTCAACCCCAGATGCCAAATCTTCTCGCCGGTTGAGTTTTGTAGACCAGAAGGATAGTGTACAGATCTCACCAGAAGACCCACCCTCCAAAGTGCAGTACCCACAAGGGGTCAGAGTTCCCCGTAGGCATTTGGTTTGCCCAAAGGATGAAGCAATCCAAACTGATCCCCCACGAAAGAGTATAACTACTACTGTGGTCAGATCTCAAAGGAAAGCCTCCAGTCCAACCCGCCCTTCTGCAGACACTCGGACAGCTCAGAGAAGGAGCCCTGACCAAGAGTATGAAACGGCTTATTACACCCGCACCTATGCAGACTCTCGGACAGCTCAGAGAAGGAGCCCTGACCAAGAGTATGAAACGGGTTATTACACCCGCACCTATGCAGACCCTCGGACAGCTCAGAGAAAGAGCCCTGACCAAGAGTATGAAACGAGTTATTACACCCACACCTATGCAGACCCTCGGACAGCTCAGGGAAGGACCCCTGAACAGGAGGGTGAAGCGGGTTATTACAGCCGCACCTATGCAGACCCTCGGACAGCTCAGAGAAGGAGCCCTGAACAAGAATATGAAACGGGTTATTACAGCCGCACCTATGCAGACCCTCGGACAGCTCAGGGAAGGAGCCCTGACCAAGAGTATGAAACGAGTTATTACACCCGCACCTATGCAGACCCTCGGACAGCTCAGAGAAAGAGCCCTGACCAAGAGTATGAAACGAGTTATTACACCCACACCTATGCAGACCCTCGGACAGCTCAGGGAAGGACCCCTGAACAGGAGGGTGAAGCGGGTTATTACAGCCGCACCTATGCAGACCCTCGGACGGCTCAGAGAAGGAGCCCTGAACAAGAGTATGAAACGGGTTATTACAGCCGCACCTATGCAGACCCTCGGACAGCTCAGAGAAGGACCCCTGAACAGGAGGGTGAAGCGGGTTATTACACCCACACCTATGCAGACCCTCGGACAGCTCAGAGAAGGACCCCTGAACAAGAGGGTGAAGCGGGTTATTACAACTCAGTTTATGTAGAACACAAGCCGTCGCAGAGGAACAAGAAAATAGAATCATCCCTCAGACTCTCTGTCCTTAAAGATTTGGAAGGTAGACACCGAGTTTCTATGCGTGTAGACCCTGAGTCTGTCCAGCAGCAGTCTGCCCACACTGAAACAAAGCCCTCCCAAAAAGTGTCAGCAGAAGTGGAGGACAACATGAAGTGCCCAATACGAGTAGATAACGAGGTCTACCGCAGAGTCACCATATGCCCAGGAGCACAGCCAGCCCACCGTGTGACACCTCGGACAGTGTCTGAGAGCCCCCACAAATCTCCTGAGCCTGTCTATAAGGAGCGTACCCCGAAACCCTCAGAAAGTGTCTACATGTCCTCAGCACCCTCCCCAAGTCACTCTGTTCATGCAAAAGTGGAACTGACCCCTCGCCCCTTACCCCCTCGGTCCTTACCTAAGTATGGGCCTGACTGCTCATGGTGGCCCTTACTCAATCCTGACATTGAAATGCCTCAAAGCCGGCCAACAACACCTGATTTCGAGCCTAAATCCCCACTTCCCGTAGACTATTCATTGTCCTTTTTTGAAATGGACTCAAGCACTTTCTGTGACGATCTGTTCCAGCAAGAGAAGGCAAGTCCATCACCACCACCAGCACCAGCAACACCACCACCACCACCACCATCACAATCACCAACGGAGCCTCCAAGCTGGGCACGATTGAGGGAAGTGCCAGAGGCTCCCAAGCACACCTCCAAACAACCCATTCAAAGGTTTAGTGCTTTCTTTTTGGGTATGTGAAGAAGCAGACTGCCCAGGTGCAACCCCGATTTAGTGAGGTGGGACATGGGCAGGGAAGGCCCCCTCTTCATTCTGGGCCTTAGAGCTGCTCTCTTGCCAATGCCAAAGCTAGACCCATCCTTGAGCCCATTGCTCCATTCCTTTCCCGCCAGCTTCTCTGAGCTCCAAGCTAATGACATCGATGACGATGCTTGGGTCGGCGTCAGGCATTGATTCTTCCAGGCAAAACACTTAACCTTTCCGTGGATTTGCAGGGTGGGAAAGCTGTTTCATGAGAGTAGACATGAAGTACTGAGCTGGGGTGAGGGCTGGTAAGAGCTAGTAAAGAGATTAAGGTCCTCTTGGTAAATATTCTGGAAACAAGGTGGAGGAGGTGAAGCACAGATGAACTGGGACTTAAGACTTCTTTTTTTTTTTAAATATATTTTATTGATTTTTTACAGAGAGGAAGGGAGAGAGATAGAGAGCTAGAATCGTCGATGAGAGAGAATCATCGACCAGCTGCCTCTTGCACACCCCCTACTGGGGATGCGCCCGCAACCAAGGTACATGCCCTTGACCAAAATCGAACCTGGGACCTTTCAGTCTGCAGGCCGATGCTCTATCCACTGAGCCAAACTGGTTTCGGCAGGAACTTAAGACTTCTAAGAGGGAGAAGGCATTAGCAGTGGCACAGAGGCTGGGAGAAAAGGGAGAGGAAGAGTAGGAATGTGACATTTAGCTCTAGACTGGAGAAGCTTCTTGGAGAGGATGAAAGGCTGAGGGCACCTTTGGGTGGAGAAATATGGATCTAGAAAGGGAGATGTTAAGTAGTGAGGGGCAGGAGTGTGCATTCCAGAGAGAGAGAGAAGAGAGAGAGAGAGAGAGAGAGAGAGAGAGAGAGAGAGAGAGAGAGAGAGAGAGAGGGAACATACCAATCTCTATTACTTTCAGATGTCTCTGAGGAAATGTACAATCGTGTCATCTGGTGGCTAAAAGGTCTGTGCTTTTCCCTCCCATGGTTCATTGTGGGGGTTTGGGAGGCAGGAGGACAGGTAGGAGGGTAGCCTTGATGTATGGACAGAGCTAGGTCTGTTAGGATATGGTGCATGCTAGGACTTTGACTTGAAGGAACAGAGGAACTTCTTATCTTGCAACCATTAGTTATTCCTTTGGGACGTGGAACCTTTTTCATGTTAAAGAGTCTTCTTATAATGGGAAGTAGTCACCGGAGAATAGTAGACCTGGAGAACCATATAAGCCCATGGCCTTTCAGCTTAGCTGATGTTACCTATCGTGTGATAAAGAAACAAACTCCACCAAAAACAACTTACCTGCTTCCCAGTCTAACTCAGGGCTGACCCCACACTGATTCAGGCTGAGGGGTTTCCTTATGCGTGTCTCTGGTTCCTCAGAACCCTACTCACACCCCTATTCCAAGGCCTGGGAGGTCCTTATGTGGCTGCTGCCCAGAAAGATCTCCAGGGATGTCTGAGCTTCCGCCTTGAGGGATCAGTGGGCCCTGCGGCCAACTTTAAAGTCCTTAAGAGAAATGTCTTCAGGGCTTGTGACCCTCCCCTCACTCCTTATATCTTGACTTCTGTGGTAGGAGGGAACATAAGGACCAGCCCTTAAAAGTGAAACTTAGTGGCAAGGAGTTCCTGCTACAAGGATTGTGGTCCAACTATGCTCTAGCCCCATGAGCATGAGGGAGGCCAGGGCTCTGAATCAGGAAGTTCCTAGGGAAGAGAGAGCCCCGGGAATGCAATGTGATACCAACCAGCAGAGAAGGGCAGCCCTGCCTCAGCCCTCAGCAGAGAAGGGCAGCCCTGCCTCACAGCAAAGCTCCATGAAGTAGAGGTTTAGTAGAGTATGGATTCTGAAGTCATATGATTGGGTTTGAGATCCACTATTTTCTTTTTTTAATCTTGATTGTTGAAAGTATTACATATGTTTCCCTTTCCCCTCATTAGCTTCCCCTCCCCTCCTCCCCCAACAACTATTTTCTAACTATGACATTGGGTAAGTATTTAACCTCTCGAATCATTCCTTTCCCATCTGTTAATGGGAACAATGGCTTCCTTTTAGAGTTCTTATAAAGGCTGACCAAGCTATGACATGTAAAACACTTAGCATGGTATGGTGCATGGGAATGGTGAGCACTCAGCAAATGCTAGCTGTTGACATTTGGGCCACTTGCACTAGGAGGGGGATTGGGCCATGTTATGGCTGAGTCCACAGCACATCTTTAGTAAAATTCTCTTTTTCCCTTCCTGTTGGCACTCTCGGATTTCCATTTGCTGCCCACTGGGAATGCCTGGCCTCTACATCTCCATTATGACAGATGAGGAGGTAAGAATGCCCCTAGGAAGTTACTTTTGGTCTTCCTGTGCTCTCCCTACCCAAGTCCCTGTCTTATCCTCTAATGAAAGCTGTTCTCTATTGTTGGGCAGGTGTTTGCTGTGTAAGGGCACCTGGCAGAGCAGGCAAGTGGGGGCTGAAATCTAGCCTGTGTTCCACTTGCCAAGTTCCTCCAGGGCTGCATCTCCCCAGAGGGGAATTTGTAGCCCTGGAGAGAAAGGGTAGAGACCTTCTGGCAAGTGATGAATCCTTCCAAGCGTCCTATGGGAAGGCTGTCTGGGAAGCCATAGGTTGGATTGGTCCCTACTTGGCTCTTCCCTCTCCAGCCTAGGGCATTCCAGAAAGGGGACACTTTTCTGGGTTACACACTATTTGAGTCCTCACCTTGGAGAGCCACAAGGTGAACTCTGCTCTCAGCAGCCCTGTGTCCTGAATTTGGCAGTGTCCTGATTTCACAGTGTGTTGTTCCCCTAAATACTTGAGTTCTTCTTGGCCCATGTTTGATAAGAGAGTCCAAGCTCTTCCTACCCCCATTCTCTCTCATCTCTCTTTCTTCCCCGAAGCCTACCATGGCCTCTAATGGGTCTCATGCATGGGCTAGCCCAGGATGGAAAGTTGACTACTCCAGTGGGGGAGGGGCAGGACAGCCTGAGATCAGATAGCGGAACAGCTGCAGCGGAGGTGTCAGAAATGCGGCTGCCACTCCCTCTGCCATGACTTCTTGTCCAGCCCTACTCCCTGAGCTCAGCTGTGGGTGGGAGCAGCTACTTTTAGAGAATATTTCAATGCAAGACAGTAAATCCTTCTCTTCCACCCTTTCTCCGTCCCTTCCATAAACAACTTTTATTCAGATGCCTAGCACTCTTCTAGGCACTATTGGGAAAAGCATTAAACATAGCGCATACATTCTTCGGCCTTGAAAAACTTTCCATCTGGATGGGAAGATAAGACGTGGACAGGAAACAACAATATGAAATTGTCTGTACTCAAATGTCCAGGCAAATGCAGCAGACTTAATAGAGGCTTCTGGATGGTCTTAGGAGAGAGGGAGTGAGCCGGGAATTTGATGGGGTCAGGTTTCCCCACTCCTTCCCAAAGTCAGGGGGTGTATCTTGGCAGCAAGCCCTTTTGCTCACCCCTTGATGCAGATCTATACCTTTGGGAAGGGGTATTTCCTCTATTTCAGGATATGATGTTTTTGATTGAGCAAGTTCCTCCCTATTCTGCCCCATCTTGTTTTAGTTTAGGAAGTCAAATGCCTTGGCAGCAGGACAGCTCCTTCCCAAAATAGCTCTTATCCTGTCTGGATAATTGCAGCTCTCCAGCCTTGTGCAGTAGCAGAGCTGCTCCCCAGAAGCTGGGAAGAGAAGACGCACAGGCAGCTAAGCCTGCCAGTCTTCCTGGCTCTCTGGGAATGGAGTGGCATGGAGGTGGGTACTGTGCTCACAAAGTGAGAGAGCTAGATTTTCCCCAGCCTGCCCCAAAGCTGCAGGGCCACAGGCAGTCCTGTTGGATGGAGTGGTGCTGATGTCCAAGGTCTCTGTTTACTCTGACCTGGGAATGGTTGACTGTAGAGTGTGGTCCAGATTCCATTCCTGGCCAGGAATTCTCTTGTGGCCCAGCCGCAGTGCCTGGCCTGGCTCGTGGACTGCAGCATGTCTATTGTTGAGCTTTACAGGGTCCGCAGCTGGGGATGGAGCACAATTCAGCCCATCTCTCTGAGACAGTTCCCTCCCAAACTCCTCAAGACCCTCTTGTCTAAGGGGTGGTGTGGACAGATGTTTCTCATCCTTGGATTGGGACATTAGGAGCTGGAATCTTCCCAGAGGTGATTATGCTGGACTGAGGGACATATTCCTGATATTTTTTTGGTTTTGTTTTTTAAATGCATTTTTATCGATTTCAGAGATGAAGGAAGAGGAAAAGAGAGAGAGAGATAGAAACATCAGTTATGAGAGAATTATTGATTGACTGCCTCCCTGCACGCCACCTACTGGGATCAAGCTCAAAACTGGGACATATGCCTTTAACTGGAATAGAACCTGAGACCCTTCAATCCGCAGGCTGATGCTCTATCCACTAAGTCAAACCAGCTAGGGCCTGATAATTTGTTTGTTTGTTTGTTTGTTTGTTTGTTTGTTGTTTTTTATAGCAGAACTAGCCAAAGCTCAACAGGAAGGTCCTTAGAGTGCCCTATGGGGTCAGCGGGAGCTGTCTTCTCACACAGCCCTGGGGAATTCTATGGAATAAAATAGCTCTTGAGGGGATGGGGCTGCCCTGGCCCTGAGAGCCTGTGTCCTCAAGCCACCCAACCTACTTGCCCTTGGATGTGACTTCCCAGGCTGTGAGTGGACAAGGTGTTTTACTCCCTGCTATATCCATCAATTATGCAAGAAACCAACTCTGGAAAACAGGTCAGAAACTAGAGGAGGCCGTCTCAGTGATAACTAAAGCAGACTTCAGTGTCTTCAGGGTGACATGTCATTTAGCCCCTGGGAGATGGGACAGCCAGGTTCCTGTTGGCTCCTGAGTCACAGGGATGATTTGCTCATGTAGATTTCCTAGACAAAATTCCAGATCCCAGGAGGAACACAGAGAGGCTCTGCATTCATTGGGGATGTTAACAGAATCCTAGGATATGAGCTATCAGAAAGGAACCCTGAGCCCTAGCTGGTTTGGCTATATAGATAGAGTGTCAGCTTGTGGACTGAAGGGTTCTGGGTTTGATTCCAGTCAAGATCACATGCCTACCTGCATCAGCCGATTGATGATTCTCTCTCATCTTTGATGTTCCTCTTTCTCTCCCTCTTCCTTCTTTTTTGAAATAAAAAATATTTATAATTTTTTTTTTTTAAGGAAGGAACCCTGGAACCATCTCTCCCACTTTTCTCATTTTCTCTTGCTTTGTACAGAGACGGGTAGTTGAGAGGAAAGGGAATTGTTAAAAGAATAAAGCAGAGGTGCTGGAAATGGGACATGGCACCTCAGGAGGCATTTCATAGCAGCTTGAACTTGGCCGCACAGCTTCTTTTTCTGTCAGATGGTACCTCGTCCAAATCCAGAGCAGGATAGGAGGCTGATGATCTCTAGCCCAGACTTGCTGTTTTGGGGACAGGCTAAACTGACCAAGTCATCAGGGTTTGCCCAGGACTTTCCTAGTTCCAGCATGGAAAGTGCTGCATCGTGAGAACTCCCTTATTCCTGGGAAAACTGGGGCAGCTGGTTACCCCAGGACAGGCTGGGATGCAGGGTGCCTCTGCAAAGCACCTGGAAGCACAGGACAGAGGGATACTGTCTTACACTCGCCTGAGACCTGGGCAGATTGCTCCCTCTGCCTATAAAATGGGGGCGGGAAAATGCTGTGCCTCCTTCTCAGGCTTGATGGCAGAACTGAGGCCAGACCAGCCCCACATAGGGAAGAAGCTGCCCCATCCGTCATGGGCTTTCTGGTGTATTTCCAGAAGCTACTCGCTTCTCTGCCTGGAGCCCACCTCCTACACTGTCTTTCTATCGGAGAAGTCTCATGATATTTGAAATGTGTTTGTTTTTGTTCTTCTTCTTCAAGTAAGAGAAGAAACAGGGGTGGGAGAGGGTGGCCCTGGCTAGATTAGGGAGCTAGGTTTCCGAAGGCAGAGTGCATACTTGGGTGAGGAAGCCAATCTATAACACAGATGCCACCCTGACAGCTGTTCAGCCAGAGGAAGGCTGTCCTGAGTGACAGAAATGACCACGTCCCTTCGCCCTTCTCTGCTCAGCTGCCTTTGGCCCAGCTGCCACAAAGGCAGAAGCACAAGACAGCTGCACATTGGGGGCTGAATGGAGGTCTGGAGGAGGGGGACAGGATTCGAGGCAGTTCCTGAGAGAAGTCAGGCTCTGACACTGTAGGTGGGAAGCCTGGACCAACCAAGGTCATTTCCTTGGCAGTCCACCTCAGGCCAAGTCACTGGGCTCCCCAGCGTCTCCACAGCGGCTGTTTTTGGGAATTCGGCTCAGTGAGTTTGAAACCAAGTCCTGTTTTCTAAAGACCGAGTGGCGGCCACGCTGGAGAAGCTGACCCCACAGTTGATGGCAGCATGGTCATTCCCATGTCACTTCAACCTAAGGATCTCCTCCCTTCGCTCCACATCCACATGCACATGTCTACTCCTGGGGAGGAAAGGCGCTTGAAATGACACAGTTGACAGTTGCTGCTTCGGTACTGATAATTTTCTTGTTAGCTGAGATAATAGCTACCACTCGTTTTAGTGATTATTCCATCCTAAATATGTTACCTTTGTGAACCGTCATAGCGCCCCTATGAGGTGAACTTTTTTCTCCATCTTTTGTGAAGAAATGGAGGCTCCGAGCTGGCTCATCCAATCTGGGAGCCCTTTGGGGAGCCTCCTGCCTCAGGGATTCATTCAGAGACGGTGGAGAAGCCCTCCTGCCGTAGCCATGTCTTCCATATCAATATTTCAGCAGCACCTTTCGAGATCAAGAAGGGTGAAGGGAAAGATTTTAGTGGGGATAACATCTATGCATGTGAACTTGGAGGCTGGGGGTGTGAGCTGGCCAGCAGCCAGAATGAAGGGCAGGTTATTGGGTCAAAAAAAGTCCGATTTTGTCTGTGCTCCAAAATCAGAGTGGAAAACTAATCAATGAATTCTTTCAGTCAGTGCATATTGATCAGACATCTCCTGGGGGCAGAAGCCTGGTCAATCACCCAGGCAGATGTCAGAAGTAAATAGAAGTTAAAATAGAGGACATATTCCCTGTCCTTGAGAGACTTGTGGTTAATTTGGGAGAGAAAAATATACAGATGGGTCACGTGAAAGGGTGTGAACATCAAAGGACAAAACAAAGTCCAGCGAAATCAGTGAGCAGTTTCTGGCCTGGAGGCACTTGGAGGGTAAAGGTAAGGGGGAGGGCAAGTTTCAGCTCAGTGTGATGACCTTGGCAACTCACTGCCCAAATACGGAAGGACATTTGTTAGAATGAGCAAGTTTCTGGCC